TTCAGCGATTGCCAAGCGTATTAAAATAAGCGCAAAATGAATTTTGCCAGTGATGTGGTGGCGAAAAGGGTGGCCATGAGGGAATGGGGGTTGGAATTGGTGCTATTGTGTGAATTTTCTCTGTGAACTTTCACGAAAACAAATTAATTTTCGACACATACAACGTGAATCACTTCACAACAACCTCCCCATTTGCTCTCCACTCACCCCTTTTACCGGGGCCACATCAGCTCAGGCAGTGCAGGTGAAGCTGAAAGGACTCCCCAAAATGCGGAAAATACAGAGAAAGAGAGAGCGAGAGCGAGAGGGGTGGCTTTGTGTGTGTTCTTTCACATAACATACCTATGTATTGTTGTAAGGCAAAAAAGGCGACTTTTCATGCGAAAATATCTCACTCCCGCGAGACTGGACATGCCAAAAAGCGACAAAAGACCAAAGGGTGAGGAAGATAGAGTCCTTTTTTCCACCAAGAGCCATGAAAAACATTCCACCCAAAGCGCCACCCCGCAAAACATAATAGCATTTTGTGTAATAAATAGGGATAAGTGAATGGGTGAGCTTCAGCGCGATACCGGAGCCCGATCGAGAGAGGAAGATGGTGAAAATCCTCAGCACGGAGATTTATGTTAAAGGTATAGGAGACTTGCCGAAGTGGAAAACTGTGAAATATGTTTGACACAAATGACTTATGACTCGATGATAATTATTCATCCTGGCACAGAAGCATCTCGTGTTTCACTTTTGCACCACGAAGCATCACCGACATTTTATCCATCTGCTGGTGCTTTCCTGCCATGCTCTCAAACTGGCCTCATCGAATTAAGGGGTTTATCACAAGCCAAAAGGCAATGTTGCGATGGTGATGAAATTTTCACAGATGTCAGTGGGCAATAAATCTTGCTTTTTTTTCCTATCATTTCACCAGTGCAACAATTGGTTGCGATCATCACGAAACTTTCCTGTGTGGGAAAATTTCCCCATTTATGCCGTGAAATATTGAAATTCTCATCACCATCATTTCGATGGGCTGTGGAGAAATTGATTTCGAGAGTGGTTGAGTGGAAGTGAAGGCAAACCAAATGAGTTGGAAGAAAATTTTCACCTCATCAAGTGGGAGGCGCACACGAAGGGCACATGCTTTGCCTTGTCTCGAGCAGAACTCAAGTAAAATGAGCACACAAATCTATAGCTAATTAGCAACTGATCGTGGTATATTTAATTAACTTGAAAACAAATCACTGATTTATTGGCAACATTTGATGTTTCACCACAATTGAGACTCCGCGCTCAATGGCGCGCATTTTATGAAAATCCCCATCACAGAGATTTCCCAGGGAGAACCGAAAAATTAATTCGCGTATCCAAGGCAAGAGCTCAGGATGTTGTAAGCGCACAATTTATGGAATGGAAGAAGCATGATATCTGGGAAGAAAATTGTAATTTTCCATGCGCACCCCCAAAAACCACCCCTCTCCCCCTCACCTAAACCAAAATGCCACCATCTATAAATACAGAGTTTGCCACGGGAAAACTAAAACAATAATCCCCTTAAAATTATATTTCATTTCACCTTTTCGCCACCACCAGCTGAGTTTGTTGTCTCACAACATTGGGGGTGACATAGGGTGGACCATAAACTTTTCTTAGCCCCCGCGCTCCAGCCACCGGCGGCTGGGGGTGAGTTCATCGTGGTCGTGGCGCGATCTTAAACCTTGTAGCGTGGCGGATTGTTTATTTACAGCCACACACTGTGCTCCTGAAAGGACCGACTGCACACAGTGCATCTTCAGCACCCAGAGCAATATCTCTCATATGAACTCGGGCTTTTAGCCATCAGCCATGTGCAAGCGAGCAAGGAAGGGGCGATGTGGAGCTTTGAATGCAAATCTAATCTCTCCTGGTTATTTTTCAAACCTCCCGCCCAGCAATAGAAGGTCGTCTTTGGCCTTTCAGGACACTGAGAGGAAATTGCAGGAGGGAGGGTTTTTTGAGCTCATTTTGGTGAAGGGAAATGTCCATCACAAAGGGTGAAATTACATTGTGTAGATTAATTTGGAGTTTGAAAACCTTTGAGAGTCACATTTTTGGTTTATCTCAGTGTCTGAGACAGAAGGCGTTTGCCTCTGTCTAGAGAATGGTTTCATGTGTTTCGGGACGCTATAGTGGCGTAAAATTGCAATCCACGTCCTGTGGAAACAAACACCTTCAAAGTTGAAACAGAGTGTGGCCGGGGAGATGGTCTTGTGCAAAACGGGGTTTTAATTTTAATTAAAATGAACTCTTTTATGTTCCCACCGCTGATACCCTCACTTTTATATATATCTTCTCACTCATCTATCTTCATTTTCCAAGCCACTCTCGTGCCACACAATTTTCCAGCTAGAAAATCCACCCACGATCATCTCCGCCCGCCCCACCATGAGGATCAGCGCCATCCAGCCCGGCATCTTCAGCGGACACACTCTCATTGTCCCTGTGCGAAATTCCTTATCTCCGCACCACTCCTCTCCACCCCGCTCGTGCGGGTGGCCCACGAAATCCTCCTCTGGCACTTCCGACGAGAGACAACACACATTGAAGTAAATGAAATTGTCTTTATAATCCTTGGCACGTCCTTACTTGGCAACTTTGACAAATCCTCAAAGCAATAAAAAGTCGAGGGTGTGTCTTCTCTAATTCTCTCCTCTCACACCCATCGCCGGCCACCCTCGAGAGCTCATCAACCGCAAAGCGAAAAAATCCCACCCGCCCCGGAGCCGCGCGAAAATTTTAACAACTCCCCACAAACCGCATAAAGCCCCGCGTCTTGGCGGAAAAATTTATTGTTGCTGCAGCAACAAAGTCTCTGCATGTGCGCCATCAACTTCACTGTCGGCGGTGGCTTTTTTTTGGGGGGCGGGATGTGGATGAGTGATAAGAAGAGGATTTTTCCGCGATGGTGCGTGGGACAATAATAATTCCCCTAATAGAGACTACTTGTATTGAATAAGGAATTTCCCCCGGTGCGTAAATCACGCGCACTTTGTGCAGTGTAAAAGTCTCGCGTTGGAAGCTTGAAAGATTTGCCAGCGTTTGTTGACTTCTTCTTGTGACTCTGGCGCGCTTAAATTTCTCGTCTCATATTCACAATGTCTAATTTTCAGCGGGTGAAAGTGGCGTGGAGTATGAAATTTTCACGAGATTTCCAAGATGTTCATCTTTCTCACCCGATTCTCAGTGGGTTTTGGGGGTGTATTTTGGATCTCATTGCCTTTTCGGTAGGTGAAAACGGGTGAAATACAATATTCTCCCAGCAATTTACGTGTACAAAGCCCAAAAGCCATAGAGACAATGGCACAACACTTGATTCTCATCTATCACCTGAGCAACAAGGTTGCTTCTTCCGCCCACCGCCAACAAATGTTGGGAATGGTTGGCGAATATGCCTCGAGAATACGACGGAGCGCGTGTGTGTGAATGGAGAAAACACACGTATCTTTTCCACCTTCGTGCATTTCACGGCGGTTTGGGAGTCGCGTTTTTTCCATCTCACCACGCCACTGATGACACAGAGATGTCTTGCTGGAGGTGCTGAGTTTCTTCACCTCATCTGGCGTGAAAAATTACCCGAATCTGCGGCAAAATGGGAGCTTCAGTGCGGCGAGAGCTTAAGAATTTACATAGAAATTGAGAGAGGGCGAATGTCTTCTCACTTAATTTCCCGAGCGCAAAAACCTCCAAAAAGGCAACCCAAAATCCACGCCACTGCGAGACTTAATTATTTCATTTCGTCCACACTGAGGCGATTTATTGGTGACTTCCTGAGACGTGTTCTTATTAGATTCTTTCTCCGTTTTCACCATCAGATCCATCGCACTTGATTAGGTTTGGGCGGGAGAAAAACAAGAATTGTTGGGGCGAAAGTCAATCAAACTTTGGCTGCTCTCTCTCTCTCTCTCTCAGGTTGAGCACGTATTGGGGTAAATCAAAATAGAAAATAATAGAGGAATATTGCAACGGGCAAAAGAGTTGCTGAGGACTTTTACTGTGAGTTTTCTGCACAGCAGCACAGCTTGAAAATAAAAAAAACATGCAGAAATTACTTTGAAGCCTTTTGAAGTCTTTTGGATGGCAAAATTGCTTAAATCGATCCCATCACTATGCATCGTCATCCGTGGCGGGGGTGAGAGAGAGAGTGGCAAAAACAACAGCTCACTGTTGCTCTAAACCCCCTGAGGTGGATGCCGAAAAAGGGCGGAACAAGCGAATCAATTGTGAAGTTAATTTCACAGGGATTTGTATGCGTTTGAGAGCTTTCATTGTTCGCTCCTTTTGCCTTTGAAGCTTCGCAGCGTGACAAAAATCGGCTTTTCGACGGCGCGCAAAGTGCAATTTGGCACTATTGATTTTTTCCTGGATTCGTCAAAATGAACCCGAGCAGCAAAATTTCAGAGGTGCAGACTTGATTGACGGACAGGTGTGGATCATGGGGTCAAAGAGGGGTTAAAATGCAAGAGGTCAGCAGCTGAAAATCACCTGCAATAGTTTGCACAAATGGTGTGGGGGTGTGAGAATTTGTTGCGAAAATGATTTGAGGGGCGTTCAGGAGCGTCACAATTGGTCGAGAGGCCACTTAATGAAATTACATTTGTACGTCCAGGCGGAATAGTTTGGTGCAACAGATGGTCACCAGTGACTGTTTGGGGTCACAGGTGGGACAAATGTGGGCAAATTGCCAATTGTCAATTCTCCGTCCGCATGCCAAATTGTATTTGGGTGCAGCGCGGCCCCAGAGAGAGTCGATCTCATTGGGGAAAAAGAACTCCGCAAACACGAAGCGAGAAAAAGAGTTTGAGAGTCGCTTGAGTGTAATTTTTAGAGGAGGCAAAATTGCTTCTTATCAGGTTTTCTGCAAGACTGCCTCGGGAAAAGTGTGTACTATATATGTGTGTGTGGGTGTGTGTGGTGTAAATTTCCTCCTTGGCGCTCAACTCATCCTCTCGAATCCATAAATAACTTACCCAGGGAAAATGCTGCGAGGCAGGGAATTTTTCCTGGAGCACACATTGGATTGCTGATCCAGTTAGAGATGCCACTTCTTCTTGTCTACTCTATACCTTTTCATTTTTTTCCCTCCCCTTTTCACCCCGGCGGCAAGTGCATCTGCAAAAGGCGCAATTGGGAAATTTCATTGCAATTTGAGCAGCCATATGATCCTAACTGTTAGTGAGTGAATTGACAAAGACGCATTGATCGAATTAAGGGTTCATATTGATTAAAGAGACATTTCTGGGAGAGTGATTTAAGAAGAAATGGGAAAAGAAATCATCCACTATGAGAGAATACAGCTCAAATTTTCCTCCCGAAACATGTCTCAAACATCTCAAAGCGCGTTCTCCTCATATGGAAAATTGCTGAAGATACATGATAAAGCTCGTCGGGCGGTGAATTAACTCTGTGAAATTTGATTTCCCGCCCCATGAAATTTTAATTTACCTTTCATCTTGAGCCATCTTTTGTCGAATCCTCCCCAACACACATACACACCTCTTTTGTACTGCTCATCAGTCTGGGCGGCGGGGTGAAAACCTCGGAAATGACGAATGGGGAAGAGAGGAAGGAAATAAATCTCGTCATTTTCCTCTTCATACCAAACACACACACACACGCGTACACTTTTTTCCCGTGCCTCTTCTCAAGCGACAAAACCTTCCCTTAAAGGTAAATATCGAGTGGCGAGAGAGAGAGAGAGAGCTTAAACTACACCCACTAAATATTTGCTAATTTCCCACTCATTTGCTCACAAATAGTGCAATGCTTTTGGCGGGGGTGGTGTTCGGGGAAAAATAACATAAATTGAGCGCGCCCCGGATAATTGATGATGAAAGTGGCAAAGGGGGTTCACGCCACAGCGAGTGAGAGAGTCTCTCTGGCGCTGCGATGAGGCTTTCGGGGTGGAAATAATTGTCACGAAGAATAAATACTTCGTGATGTTTGTCACACTTTGGCGATTATTTACGATTATTTGTGAATGAAAGATATTTCTGTTTCGTCCATTTCGAAAGCTCTCATTGTTATTTTCAGAGGGTGTTTTTCTGTATGTATGTGGCTCAAGGGGTGATTTAGTTTGTGAGGCTAGGATGTTTTTCCGCTCACTTCTTCGTCTGCCAATGGATTTGTGTGTGTCTCTTACTGGTGAATGACAAAGTATAGATGAGAAAAGTAATACAATCATTGACAATTTCACGGCATCTCGCATAACTCTTTCTCTCGTTCGTCTGGAAAAATGTCTTTGGAGGAGTGTTTTCGCATGTTTTTAATTGAAATATCAGGCGAATTTTTCTTGTTGTATTACAGAAAAAAGAGACAGAGAGACACATTCTTTATACACACAATCATTTATATTTGAACAGAGAAATTCTGCGCGAACAGTGGCAAAAATACACGATGATATAATTCAATAACAAATAGACAAATGGAAAATTTATTGAATAATAATGAAAAATCCCATGATACAAATTGAAAATTGATTTCTATTTGCTTCCCACTCTGTCATCGGACTGTTTCATCAAACAAGAAAGCCAAGAGCACGCGATAGAATGGTGTAAATGTGTGAATAGTGGACAGATTCCAATTGATATTTTTCATCACTTTTCTGCAAACAAGCATATTTTTGAAGCATTATTTAAAGTATTCGATGAATCCAGTTTTTGTGCATTTTCACACAAAAATATTTCCAACGAGTCATCGCGAAACTTCCACTTCACGACAAATCAATTCATGAAGAGGGACAGAGTATGACTATAAGCTTTGGAGTTTTTGGACAATTTAGCAAGTCATCGTCATCATCGTGCTGAAGGGGTGCTTTTTCAATGCACTCGAAGGGGTTGGTCGATTTTTTTTCCCCCGAAAACCCCTCCATTCATCGGACAGTGCGGATTGTTCTTTGACAAGGAGACACACACTCCACAGCATAATGATCGTACAAGTGCATTTTGTAATCCCTCGAAAATGTATGCGAAGCGCAAAATCCTTGTGTATCGTGTGTGCACAATTTATTAGCCCATTGTTACCAATTTAATCTTCCAATCAATGCAGCCAGCGACAATGATAGTTTGGCCATTGAATTGCCAAGTCCGGCGCGTCTTGGAGTGCCACTCCCGCTCTGTCCACATTTCATTTAATACCCTCTCTGTGTTTGTTTCACCATGGGAAGGATTTAGTCTCGAGATCCCTTCCAGCTCTGATTGTTTTCCATCGCACTGCCAATGCTGAGAAATCAGTGTGGGTGATTTTCTCCTCCGCGATATATTGATTTAGTGCCGCCCCAGTGTTGCTTTCTCTCCCCTCTCATTGTGCCCTCAAGATACACAAAATCACCTCCCCTCAGGACAGTGTGTAAGTGTTTCATTTCCTGGACGACAACACACAATGCTCATCATCTTCATGTTGAGGATCAGACTGAGGCACGCAAGTGTGGAGCACACAACATGTGAATTTATTGAGTGCCAGTTGAAATTGAAATTAAAAATTTTCACTACATGCCAACCTTGGAAGATGGCGAGACAAAGTGTGGCGTCATTATGGAGACACTGGGGAGAAGATGGGAAAAATTGTACGTGAGAGAAGAGGAGTTTAATCTAAAATCAATAATCTGGGCGGCATGTGAGTATGTGTGTTTATAGGAAGATGAGTCTCACTGGGTGAAAGCTTTGCGAGAGCTTTGGCAACTTTAGCCTTTTCGTTGATATTTCGCATGTTGGCAATCCTTTAACAAAGTCATTCTGTAATGTATTCCCCATATTTTTCCCACCCAGCGGAATATTTATGAATATTGTGACTACATTATGGCAAAGCAGCGTAAATATTTGCCATGGAGAGCGCATTTATTTTATTTTTTACCCCCAAACCAACCAGGGAGAGTTTGCAAAAATTCCCAGATAATTCCCTCGTCGTTACCCAGGGAGCACGTGGATTTTCCCGCCTCTTTCCACAATCACTGAGCCATTTTCCGTGGGAGTTTGAGTGAAAAATCTCATGGCATGAATAATGCAGGGGCGCAGGTGCTGATAATGTTGTGCAATTATTTACTAATTAGTTATAAGTCTTCAAATCTGGGTTGGGTGCCTCGTGAAATATTAACTCCCTCCCTCTCCCCCCCACCCATCCTTGTCGTGTCCAGTGCGCGAGGACAAAAACTCACCATTAAAATTACATCTTTTAATTGCCATTCTCCGTGTGCAAAATGTATATTCCCAAAAGCTCATAATGCACAGTCGAAGGCATGCGAGTGGCATTTGCGTGTGTACAACTGTGAAGGGGTGGTGAAAATGTGCAAATTGATTTAGTTGATAATGAATACAATAAGAGCTTTTCGCCATAATTCCCGAGAGAAAGGCACTCACAGGGAGAGAGAAGCGTATATGTGTGTATAATAAAATATGATTGAATTCTCGGAGTTGAGCAAAGTGCGGACAGCTCTCTGCATTGAATACAAAATCGTCAAAAGCTCCCGACCAGGAGACATTGTAGGGCATCCAGGGGGATGTGTGCTCCCTCGCGACGCTCCGCCATCAGCATCAGCAGTGCACATTTTAACTGTGAGCACTGTCAATGCACAAGAGATAATCAACCGCAATTAAATGGGGTTGCATACGTCCAGAGCCATGCTTTTGCATTTGCCCATCCCCGTCGTGATATTCTCCAGAGGGGGACACTTCACACCCCGCGTCACTCAATAGCCCATCGCACACGCGATGCACACCATTTTCCAGATGCACTCGCGCTGGAGGCGAAGAGGTCGAGCGTCGGGAACAAAGGACTTGCGGGAGGGCAAATTTGAGAATCTATGTGTGGCGCCGAGAGTCCTGAATGTCCCAAAGTACATGCATCGAGAGTGTAATGTATATGAAGTGGCCTTTTCCGCACCTAATGCTCTTTGCCTTCCCACTTTAGGCGTTCCATTAGAGGTGGAAAGAAACATATACAAATTTCAGCAATTTTGAAGATTAAGTAGCAAATTTCAAAATTTCCCATGCTTTTTGAAGCTTTATTTTAACCGAATATAGATGAGATTTCAACTCAAAGTGTCCTTTATTTTCCACTCTTATAATTTTCTAGAATTCCCACAAGTTTTACTCGTGGAAATTGAGTATAATTCAAAGAAATAACGAAAAAATAGAATACTAACAGCATCATAAGTCCAGACAATACATAAAGCTTCAAGATTTGAGAGTAATCTTCAGGTGTGATATGATTTTCACGTATTTTTCTGCAAAATTTCATGATTTTTTCCACACTTAATCTCCCCACTTACCCAGAGTCATATTGCGAATTCAACAAAACACGTAACTTGGGAGGAAACACATGGGGAATTTCCAGTGTAACTGCAGAAATATCTCTTGCATTTTCCCACTCATTTGCCCTGCAAAATGCGACACGTTGAATGTTCACCGTGTGTGTCACACTCTATTTAAATTGCACATGCAATTAGCTTTCCACTGCGTCCAGAGGCAATTTAGAGTGAGAGAGAGAGAAGCTGAAAAAGGCATGAATTGACCGCCTCTGTGCGCTCTTCTCATGGTGTGGTTTCAGGGATTTGATTAAAATACCACGATATATCTTCCCACCTGAAATCACGGGAAATTTCGCTTCATGTCATGCGGCGATGGGGGAAGAAAAATGGTTGGGGATGAGGAAGGAAATTGAAGATGTTGTGCACCTCCTTTGGCAAATAAAAATCTCACACACTGGCGGAAAAACCCACTCTGAATCATTGATGATGCAGAGGAAGAGAATGAAAAAAATTGCTCTCGAGCTTGAACGAGGGGTGGCGAGGAGGGTGGAAGGGATTTAAAAATTCACGAGACATCAGGGAAAATTAAATAATTTACAGCAGCAATAATTTTTCTAATGGGGTGTGTGTGAGCCTGAGTATATTTTTGTTGCCTTATCTCTCAAGTCATTCTCCTCAGCCTCCCCCCAGGAAAGGGGATATAAAGGGAGCTGTTCTGGGTGTCTTGAATCAATCATAAAAAGAGCCTGAGATTAAAAAGGGGAGGCAATTGCCAGGAAAT